CACTCTGTTTTGCTTTTTTCCTTCATCTGGGATGAAACAGGTAGGTCAGCCTGCACTCCCCTCCGGGCGGTGGTCTCCCTCCTAAGCCATCTAGTGACACTTCTGTCAGCCATTGGAGTATCCTTTGGCCGTTCAAAGGGCTTCATGCATCTTGCTACCGCTGCGGTATTATAAATGCAACAAGCGTAAATATTTTGACTTCCATATAAATCAAATGCAGAGATGGGCTCCCTGTGTCACACAGCTAGCAGGCGCCCTCGGTGATGAGCTGGCCGGTTCTCAGCCCCTGCTTCTCTCTGATGATCCCCTACTCATGGGGAGCCTTGCTGATCGCAGGAGCGTGCCGTTCCCCCGAAAGGCACCGCTCGTTGCACTGATGCCACAGGGACCTTCTTTACAGGCTGTAGCGTTCTACAGAAATCGGAATTTCAGGATATTCCCCGTGAAAGATGGGTATCGAGCCTATTAGTGGAATGAGGTAATAACCTGGAGGGGCTGGGAGCGCCTGCCTTACTTCTTGCCCCAGGACTTGGTGGAGCGCAGCCAAGGAAGGGCTCGCATCGCCTTTGCCGGAGGGGCGGTCATGGAAGTTAGGCCTGAATCGGGAAACGATCCCTGGCTAGCAAACTGCGTAAGGGCGAACATTGCGCGCCGAGGTCTCTGGCTGAGGTCTCGGCAGCAGAAACTTTTTACTCCGTTGCTTTGTTCGAGGCTCTGGAGAGCCTGTAGGCTGAGAGGCTTGCTGCTCCCTTCTGCTCCTGTATTTCCTCACCGTTCAGAGAAGCTGCTCGCCCAAGCACTCCCAAGTTTTTAAGGTTGGTTTTTTCCCTCCCCTCCTTTCAGGTCTTTCTCAGAAGTGGTGCTGCTAGGCCTCTCCCAGAGACCGAGACGACCTTGTGGCACTGTAGCCTCCCAATGGTTGAGCCTGCTGTGGAGAGTTGCTCCTGCGAGCAGGCTTGTTATACGAACATCAAAAAATGAGTGTTGGACATGTCCTTCCTGGCTTTGGGTCTTCGAAGGTGCACAACCATTAGGAACCCGAGTCAAAAGGCATTTAGGCTGTACAGATTTGGGCCACAGTGTCCCAAAGCCAAATGGCTTTTGAGCCAACGTTGCAGATGTTGCATCTTGCATTTCTAGGAGCGTTTTTCTGCTGTTAGTGACTTTTCTTGGCAGTCAGGATAAATTCTTCATTTAGGGATTTGGGGAAAACTTCTAAACGCAGGCTGGGATACTGTCAAGTTGCTTAGGTCAGCAAATCTGGTTAAAGGTGAAGCTTGTGGTTTCCAGTCTGTGTTCCAGAGATCGTCAGTGCTGAGCGGGGCTAGTCTGAACTTGAGGACTTTGCAAGGCATCTTCAAAAGATGGTATGCACAGACACAGACTTCAGGGGAGAACAGTCATATTGCATGCTCGGGAGGTTCCGACTGTCAGCATGAAGTGTGAAGTTTCTCGCAAGGAAATGGAGATACGAATCACCTTAGCCTGTGAGAGCCGAATTTAAATGGGGATTATGAGTCGCTTTCTGCCTCCAAAGAACAAAGAGTACCTTGTAAAGTTTTGGTGCTCAGATCTCTTAATGCAAGGCCAGTCTGATGACGGAAAGAGGGAGTGAATAAGGTCTGTGTGTTGTGCCAAGTAGTCGGAGCTACGGTGAACGTGCTGGCGGCTCTTTGTGGGGATAACTCGCAGGAACGAGTGCAGGTGCAGGCTTGCTTTCTTCTCAGGCTCAGGTCCTCCTTCCTGGTAGGAGCTCTGTCGCTGACTGAACAGGAGTGCTGTCACACGAGCGGTTTCTGTAGAGAAAATACCAGAGCGGTGCTGAATTGCCGGCGAGGAATTTATGGGCAGGAGGGGGATGTCCCTCACGTCTAGGGTCCGTGCACTTGTCCTTGATCAGCCCTGCAGTAGTAGTGCTGCTGTAGTTGTGATGGCTTTAGAGTATGGTCAAGGTCATGTTTGTAGGGAAGAGTGGTATTTATTAAATCGAGGGGTACGACTGGAAGAGGCAGGCAAGTGTTTTGGTGCATGGGTCTGTCCAGGTCTGGAATAAACATGGGATGCCTTGAGAAGAGCTGCTGTGAGTTTGATCTGGTTATGTTGATCATGTTGGGAGAAAGAGGCTGCTAGCAAGAGGCGATAAAGTCATTAGCCGCTTCCTCTAGAAAGAAGGGTAATTACCTCCTAAGAAACATTCAGCCTTGGAAATCTAATAAACAAAGAAAACGGATGTTGTAAGCTGGAAAAATACCAGCCGTGAAAGCTGTGGCCCTGATTTAAGTCTGTTCACTGTGGAACGGGACCTAGAAATGTGGAAAACTGCTAGAGCAGTCTGCAGAAAAGGAAGGGGGACCTTCAGTAGATGCCTTTCTTCGGAGTGCAGCCCTTGTGAATAAAACACACTGAAACAGCATTAAACCACCGTATAAAATCATTAGTATTTTCTACCTTGCTCAACGCTTTTTGGAAGCTGTACTTGGTTCCTTCTCAGCTGGAGTCAAGAGCCATGCCAGGACTCGGAGTTCTCATGGTAGAGCTTGAACAAGAGGAGATCGATCTCCCGAACCCATGAAGCGCCCTCGGGCAGGTGGGCGGCGCGGGATACCCAGCTCTGCGCGCAGCCCACCCGTCTTCCCATCTCTGCAGGTCTTCGAACGTCTCCAGATCTGTTTAACTCTGCCGAAGACTTTCTTGTTTAATTTCTCTCACTTGGTAGCGCTCAGGTGATAGAAACCGATAGAAACTTTGCTTTGACGCGCTGAGCTGCGCGACACCAGTTATTGGCGTGAACAAGCTTCGCATTTTAAAGAAAGTGCTTCTCCAATTCTTCTTTTGGTATTATTGGCTCAGACTTGCAAAGCAGCCGCCTGTATCTCTGCATCGAGCTTCAATCTTTCATTTTAATTTATGGGTGCATTATATACTTGTCAAAGATTTCCTAGAATTGGCAGTGTCTGTGCAGCCTTTAAAGGATACTTAATTGCACCACACAAGAAAAAGGAGCCCTGGGTTTCAATAATGGCTTCAGGATTAGAATAACCTGGGTTTATTTTGAGTTTTGTTGTCCGGCTTTGCTTTTTGCCACACAGAAATTTTTATTAAAAATTCATATCACAGAAGGAACCGTGAACAAAGTGATGTCTAGACCGTCTAACAGACGCAGCGTGAGCAAGTTTGATCACTTCTTTCCTGTTTTGTGTTTATCTCTTACCTACAGATTCATATCAAACATCCAGTCAAAATTTCTAGACATATCTAAGTCTGGCTTGCTAATAATTAATTAGGAGAATGGTTACTAAATATGCGTAGCTTCAACTAGTCTTCCAAATGGCGTTTCTCACTTGTAGAGATAGATGGGGTCTTAAATCTGGCTCGCAGGAAGAGGAAAAGCTGGGGATCCCCCTTTGATAATACCTAATTTATCTAACCGTGCTTGGCTTTTGCCGTGTCGGCGTTCCTAGCTGTGGCAGTAAGACACAGCGGGTACGCTGCGATTCCAGGCGGCTCTTAAGAAAGAACGCTTTAAGCCCGTCTCCACATACGTTGAATATGTTGTAAAGAAAACCCAACTCTGGGAGTCCAGATCTTTTTCTTCCCACTCTTCTTTTATTTTATTTTTTTTTCCTCCTCCATATGCTGATTTCTTATAGTGCCTGTTTGCACTGGGAGCTGATGAATACTGAAAACTTGGACTTTGATTTTGATATGAATATCAAAGCGTAAGTGTAATCAATATTGTCACGAACCACAGTCTAAGTTGGGAAATGTGCCTCAGTGCCATTTCTTTTTGAGTATTTTCTGTCTTTCCAGTTCTGTTCGTGGTCAGAAACTCTGTGATAACGGCTCCTGTTGCTATGCTTCTGATTCCTGCGAGCGTGGGTGAGAAGGGAAGGGAAAATTTCAGAATAATTAAAATAATGTGTACTGACCACTGCGGTTTATGATACTGTATCCATCCCAGGAGTCTGTCTTTTTTTTTTTTTTTTTTAAATTAAATTATTTTTCTTCTTTTACAATTATGGCTGTTTCTGGGTTTCTTCAGTTTTAACTACAAATGCTTTTAGTGGGACTGTAGAACTGAATTCTGAAATCATGGTGCTTTTTTCCAAGTGCTTTAGAACTATTCCCATTATGTTCTGCTAGTCGCTGAGAACACAAGAATAAGTAGGATAAGGAGTCCATAAGGGAGCAAGCAGCTCCTTCCTAGCTGTTTTACAGTGCTTGAATGGCAGCATGTGAGGTTTACAGACAAGCAGTTGGTCTGTGGAAAAGGAATGGAGGTGAACTGCTGCAGCTCTTCAGTTCTAGGGGGTTTCTTCATGTCTTTGGGGTATCTGGCGTCAGGAATGGGTGACTTTTGGCCTATCGACGCAGCGCACACGTCGTTTTAATCGGAAAAATGCTTAAGGTTCGTGAGCTTGCTTGAGGAAAGGTAGATTTTTGTTATTGGCTGTTCGGAAGGACCAGGAGCTGCCAACCTCCCTCGCTGCGTGGGCTGCCTACCAAGGTCTGGGATGCTGAGGAGCGTAGGGCAGATGTCATCTACATAGGAGAGCTAAGGCGAGGGGTTTGCAGGTCGGAGAGACCATGGGGGTCCCAGCCCTGCTGAGGGATGGGTTTATGACTGGGTCCTGGGTGACCCAGCAGCATCAGTGTCAGCAGCCCATTGCTGCTTCGCTGCTTCTCCCACGGGCAAGTGGGAGTCCTTGGACGAGCTTTGGACGTCCAAAGTGGGAGTCTTTGGATGAGCAAGAGCAAGTCCTTAGACTCTTTTGCTGTCCTAAGAGTCACGCGAACGCTGTGGGTCAAAGACGGTGAAGCGTTAGCATCTTAATACCCCACGTGCCACGGAAAGTCATGGAAAGCAGCCTGTCAGGGTCTTAAATTCCCCACATCAACCTCCCTTGTGCAAGGAAAGGTGTTGCTGTAGCCTGAGCCTCTGTCTCCTTCTGCCTGCATCGAAACAAGTGCTTTAACTGGTATCAACATTGTTCTTACAGGCAGCCCAGCCATGGCCCACAGAAACCTGACTTCCACCAGCCTGAATGACATCTCTGACAAGCCTGAGAAGGATCAGGTAAGCTTCAGATTCAGACTTGGCTTGGTGGTGTGTGTGGTTAGGAGCTGGGTGTTGGGGACCGAGGCTCTCTGTACCACAAAACGGAAGCAGAAGAAGAGGTGAGTAGAGTATTTCCGAGTCCTGTGATGGGATCCTCCACTTCTTAAGCGCCCGCCCTTGAAAACAGCAGGTTCAACTCTCGCAAGGCTTGAAGCAAGTGCCACCACGTACAAGGCATCTTGCCCATACCCTTGGGAAAGGAAGGAAGATATCCCGATACGGATGTATTTCGGGTCCTCTGCCTGATGAGAATAGGGTCTTCAGGGGTTATAGCGAGGGTCTGCACAGGAGCTACGGTCCTGCAGCACGCTGGGGCATGTGCTCCCAAGGGCCACGGGGTAGATCAGCAGCTGGTGGAGTAGAAGATGTTACCTCACCCGGCGCATCGCTTCAGAAAGGCAACTGTGCTGACAGGTAACCCGGGAAAAAGAGCTCCAACATGGAAATGAGGAATCAAGTTTAAAATTGGCCTTTGGTGCCAAGTCTGCACAAATCTGACCAATTGCTTAGACTAGGGTAATGTTTGCGGTATATTGGATGGGCTGTCTTTGTGTGTGTTCTCGTCCTTTCTGAGAGCTGCGGGGCCTGAGGGGTAAGAGTGAGTTTATTTCAACTCTTAGAAAACTGGTGTCTGAATAAGGTCTCTGTGCAACTTTGAAAAAACCTTTGTCTTGGTTCAAAAAGTGGGTTATTCTCAAAGCATGACTGTTTCTTTCGGAGAATCTTTTTTTTTTTTTTTTTCCGGGTCTTTCAGCGTTCTCTAGTCCCGTGGTCATTCTGAATGCAAATGAGACTTACTTTGGAAAATTATTTGGCTAACGCAGAAATGCTGGCCGGCTGAGAATGACTCTAGTCCTTCAAATGATGGCTGGCTGCAGTCTTCTGTCAGTGCCACTCTGCCTTAAAGGGACACAGCAACACAATCAATGTAGAAAAGTGAGTTCAGAGTAATTACATATTTTTAAAATCAATATCTGTATGTTTATATAACTAAATATACTTCTGGGGAGAGAGAAGGGGAGCGACGTGTTTTGCATTGACCTCAGCGTCATTCAGAGGTGTAGCATACATCTACATAGGTTGGTTGGTTTTGCAAAATGTCTGTTTCCTTTGATATAT